ATGCTTTAATAGCATTATTGATAATGGAAAAAGAAATCAAGAATACAAACTCCATCACTCCTTCGAATAAAGTTTAATTGAAGTAAAGAAATCATAAGGTCATTATAATAAGCACTAAATTCTCTAGGTAGTAAAAAGGTAATTATTTGTTTAAGCTGAGGTCTTCAATTTTTAAGTATATGAATGAGGTTATTTCCTTATCCAGGTCAAGCTATAAAACTGAAAAGTAGAGAAATGTAAAATATTGCCTTTCTCTAGAATTGAGAATGCATTTCTTTTGATGTTGTATAATGATATTACAATTAAAAACACTAGTAAAATTCCTTTAACTAGGTGTGGTTGCTAAAAGATATTGAGAGTTACTCAACAAAACTGAAAAACCATATAAGAACCTGGGATCCACCACTAATCATCTTCTTCTGTGTGAATGGATACAAAATCAAAATTGAAAGAAAGGAAACATTGAGCCAGATACCGAATCTGAGTAGGTAATAAGCACCTTAAATGGTTATAAGAAAATAATCAAGAGTACAGATGAATAAGTTCCTTAGACTATTAGAAAGAAAAATGATATCCTATAAGGGTTGATTCCTAATGAGAAGAGATTTTTAGCAAAGGTTCTTTGGAAATATGAAGTATTTTTAATTTTCTTTTTTTTTTTTCATTTTTATGTAGTACATTTGCACATTTTTAGATATTCCCATTTTCTTTTCTTTTTCCTTTTCTCTTTTGTATTTTCTTGAATTTAATTCCTTGGAGAATAATAAGTAATAATAACCTGTTATCAATAATAGATAAATTAGGAGGGTCTTCATCTGAAATTTGATCCAGAGTAAAATATTGTTTCCAAGGTTGCATTTAGAGGTTGAAGCTTTTCTGAGAATTGAAAGCCATTGATGAGTGAGTTAGCATGAGTTTTAGTTTAACCATAATACAATTGCACTATATATCTCTATCAATTTTCTTAATAATTAATAAACACACAGTATTGGCCTGACCACGAGATTAAAAAAAAAATAAAACAAAATAATCAATATTTTAAAATATAATAAATAAAAAGAAATAAAAAATTTAACTTTTATACAAATAACTTTTTTAAAAATTAATTAAATATAATAAATTAAAAATAAATTTGATTTGAATCTTAATTGAGAATAATATAATAATTAAAAAAATTTTAATAAGAACTTTATTATATATAGTATAAGTAATTAAAATAAAATATTAATTTTTTAATAGTGCTATTTATAACTTTTTACAATATAATAGTTTAAATTATTATAAATGATAATATTATAATTAAAATATAAAAAATAATAATATTTATAAATATTTATATAAATAAGAAAATAAATTAAAAATATTAACTATTTATTATAGATAAGATTAAAAATTAGTTTAAAATTTTTTTTTATACTTAAGATTAAAATTATAAAATAGATAAGTCTAATAATTATATAAATCTTCTTTTAAAACAAATCAGATATAAAAATTTAATAGTATAATATTAGTTATTCAAGTTAAAAGTATTTATAATAGTCATATAAAAAGAATATATTATAGATATTGAATTAGAAATTTTATTTGATTAGTAAATAAAAAATTTTTTATTTAAACTAAATAATATAAAAGTAAATTCAAGATTGTAAATTTAACAAGATAAAAATATAGATTAATCAATTTTTTAAAATAGTTCAATTTATATAATATTTTTTATATATTATTTAAAATCTATAAAAATAAAAGTTTCTTAATAAATTCAATTTATAGTAAATTTTTAATATTATAAATACTCAAAAAGAAGAAATTGAATATTTGTTTAATATATAAATTTCAAAAAAACATCTTAAATATTTTTTTAAATATAGAGTTGTATATAAATATAAGAATAAAAACAAGACTATGTTTTTAAAGAATTATTTTAAAAATATAAAATTATACTGATATCTATATAAAACATAATTAATAAGTTTTATTTAAGAATATAAAAGAATTTTTTTAAAAAAGATCTAGAATACTTTTTATATCAGATTAATAAAATAAAAAAATATAAATATTATTAAAAGAGAAAAAGAAAAATTAAAAATAAAATATATAAGCAAAATACATAATATTATAAAGAAATAATACTAGTTATAATTAAAAATATAGATAAGAAAAGTTTTACAAGAAAAAATAAGAAGAATATCTCAAAAATTATAAAAGATTAAGTTTATCATGATACCAAATAGTTAGGTTTTAAGCTATAAATAGAATTTTTAATAATCTATAGTAAGTAATAATTTATAGATAATAATTTCACTAGTTAAAGATTAATTCAAATCAATAAAAAATAAAATATCATTTCCTAAGTTATATTTAGAGAAATAATTTCTTAATAATAGGTAAATTAATATATAAAAGTTATATTAACTGTAAACATTTGGTATATATGTAATATTTCATATTAACCTGAATATAAATTAAAAAATAAAATAAAATAAAAAAAACAAAAATAAACCAAATTATTCTTAATTTGAAACAATTAAATTTAGAATTTTATATAATTTGTCACATAAAAATTTTTAATTTATTATGATTTAATAAAATCAAAGTGTCCATGTTAACCTGACTGCGGGTTAAAAAAAAAAATTAATAAAATCAAAGTATGATAAAGGAGTTTCATAGTTTGAAAAATAGGTGATGCTGATTATGTAAGACCAATTATGTACTACCTGTGGAGAAAAAGGGAGATTGGATAAATTCCAACGGATTTCGCGCTGTAGGTTTCTTCGTAAGGTCGGGTTCAAAAATGCCATTCTCCGAAAAACTGCTATACTTCACCACAGGCTTGACCGGTGTTTTGATGATTTATTGCATCAATCGGCAAGTTCAACGGCATCTTCCAAGCGTGACAATGAAGGAATTATTAGGAAGTGAACCAAAGAGAATCGAGGACGGTACGTTTTTACCGGGTGGAATTCGGGATTACCTTTTTGCATTTTTTTTTGCTTCATTATCGGCATGTTTGTGAATAATGCTAATTGTTACTTTTAAACAGAATTAAATATTGATAACCTTGCAGAGTTGACGAGGTCAGAAAATTTAAGCTTACGCAATAGGTAAGTTTCAATTAAAGTTTTTCGAATGCCTTCTCGAAGGGTGAAATCCCCCGTTTGTTGTTGACATCATCCCATTCGCGTTCAGCGCGATAAGCATTCTTCTCGACAGGGCAATGTCAGGTAATTTATCGTTGTCAAAAGTTTTTGCAGCAAGTTTGCCGACGCGTAAGGACGTGTCATTCCCTAATTCCTCATATTCATCGTACCCAATGACCGATGTCATTGTATAATATTCTTCTGTAGACAGGTTTCTACCCGATATGATTAATTGCTGTAACCACCCCGAACCGGAAATTAGGATGAAGGCGGTTGTTACTTTGCAATTGTTGTCGAGAAATGGTAAATTTTACTCGATGAAGTGGAACGATTTTCCGGTGTAACTGTGTCCTGATTCAAATTTTCACATATTTGGTTAGACGAAAACAAGGACACATTGGTGAAGAATAAAGCTTTAGAAGTGTTGGTGGGCTTATTAAAAGTGGAAAACAACCGCGAGTATACTCATCGATATGCAGCAATCGCGTTATGTGATCTAATATCAGGAAGTGGTGTGTACTTCGATAGGCTAGTTCTTGCATAAGCATTCGAGGAGGCGAATACTTACCTATTCAAGTAACCCGGTCTCTATAGATGATCGTAAGCTCAAAATAGCGGAATTGGGAATAATACCGACTTTGGCCACTTTACTTAGTGGATCAAGCTTTTTGCAAGATGGTGAGACGAAATATTGGTCTCTAATGGTCACACATCAGCTGGCATCGTGCGGTAAAGTTTTCCCGATCACCACCTAATTGGGAAAATATAATGTTGAATTTTACCTATTACTATTTAATTTTAGAAAGGATTCATCCCATGTTAGTCAAAGAAGGATTCATACCTATCCTAGCCAACATGTCATGGCAAACATTTGGTAGCTCCGCGATGCCAAAATATTGTTTGCAGGCTTTAGTAAGAATAATTTCTAACATGAAGCCTGAGGGTAAATGCCAACGTTTTTCTCAAAGTTTGATTTGCACGGAAAGTGATTCGAGGTTTTTATAACAGATTCCAAGAAAGAGCTTACGAAATTACTGGATTGCAATATAGTCCGACTCCTCTCTGCATGCCTAAGGAACAGTGAGTTGATCTTTCGGTACACCTTCTCTTCTTGTTGAACGCTACTTGGAATGATGAACAATTATTTTAAGGCGTCGAGAATGCGGATGAAAGTGAACTTCTATACTGGTCCATAAGATTGCTACATGAATTCGTTGTCAAAGGTCAGTTGAATATGTAAACTCGATAGGTTTGGATCGTAATTGTTTTAAACATTTACTTAGAGATTTGACATAACCATAGACGTTGGACAGGATAGGTTTCGCCAAATGAAAGGGCTACTTAAATTTGTATCGCACTTGCTTATTATGGAAGACCCCTACATATCCAAGATACTATTAAGGACACTGAAATTTTTATCACATAACAACGGTTAGTAGCACCTTCTTGTTCATCATCACACTTCTTAATTGACGCGATGACCATTCTTTATAATCAGAGAGCTTCCAAGAGGAAATGATCCGTGCTGGTATCACTCGGAAGATTGTTAAATGCTTGAATTCACAAGATGAGGATGTTTATTACTGGAGTTTGATAGTTTTGCAAGATTTGGCAGGGCATTGTGAATGTTATTCGATCAACATATTGTTTTTTTTTTTTTATTGGTTTCAGGTTGCTTATCGTTTTCCTTGACTGAATTTTAGCCGAATCTCATCAAGATCTTTTCAAGTCGAGTGTGCTGTCAAGTCTAATCATTTTGGCGACATCCGATAAACCAATAGTCCGCATATATGTCGCAGGGCTTTTTTCTTCGATTTGCACGTCATGTAATTATATTTGTTACTTCTCAATTTGTTGATCTTCGCATTTGTTGCATAAATCGTCTCCCAATTCTCTACGATATAGCAAGGTTTCACAATCAGGTTGTAGATGAACCTGGACTTATTGACACCATTCTCGGTATGCTCGAAGACGATGATGACCAGGACGTTCAGTATGCGGCCGCCGCCGCATTGTATAATCTGTCGTCAATGTCAAGTACGCTTGAACGAAGAAACGTCGCTTCAATCAATCTTTTATTGCCTAACTATCATCGTCTGCCACTTCTCCAGGTGTTGCGGCACGTTGTCTAATAAAATCGGAATGTGTCAATATATTGATAAATAAGTTATTTAATTGTGATGTGGATAAGTTACAATTGACTTGTGCAAAAATGCTTTTGGTGTTGGCATTAAAAGGTTCGTGTTATATCTTTTGAGTATTTTGTCGCATTCTTTTTTTTTTTTTGCTCATTAATTTCATAAAAAGATGATAACCAATGTCATTTCCTTAGAAATGGATTTATTTCACAAACTTATTTCGGCTGTAATCAACCCGCTGGTTGAGTCTATTATTGAGATGGGAGAGATGGTCATTAATTCATTTTATTCGATTCACAATATCTTCCAGAATCATACGACTCCGTCAACAGGTCGTTATTGCAAGAGCAAATTATCAACTCATTATTTGGTCAACAATACACCAACGAACCGTGGATCTTTAATTTCAATATCATCATCGTATGATCGACTTTTGGGATACATCAATTCACTTTTAATATTTACGCAAAATTATGATGTCTACGAATGTGTGGCGGACAATTTAGAGAAAAATGACAAGATACTGTATCTGGTGAAGCTATTGATGGAGCTCTTTTTGCAGCCCGCCGTCAAGCAATGGATCAAAAATCAAATCGACAAGGATGAAGGCTTTTCCATTAGTGTTGGCGACCTCTTACCGAGGTCCGGCGATCTAAATTATACCAAAAAAATTCGATTTTCATGGTTAGCCTTTTATGATGAAGTGTCCACGAGGGAACGAGAGGAAAACAAATTGCACCGACCGGCGGAACCAAGAGAATGCCCGAATTTGCTACCAGATAGTGAGGATTTAAGAAATACAAAAATATCATTATCAAAAAGTGCGGCCAACTTGATTACCGCTCTTACCTATTATTATCGTGAGTGATAGATATTTCGAATGCTTTCCTATTGTCAAATAATATTAAAATGATTTCTAAAACATTAATATTGTGAAATCAGCATTTGTCCGAAGTTTCATTCTTGAGGATGATACATTTTTCGGTGCCTTAATAAAGTTATGGCAGGATTGTCCCTCTCTTGCTGAAAGTGTAGTATCATTCATGGGATTGTTCTCCATAGAAGGTTGTAATTTTATATGACATCATTGACCAATATAGCACATCGTGTTAACAACGCAAGTGCATTTTCATAATTTTAGGTGGTCCCCGCTCTTTGGGAACAAAGACGCTAACAGTAGCGACTGTATGGAAAATATTATTGCCACGAACGCACTCTTCTATAATTCAATTTTATGGAGATCTGTTTTTATATTACATGAGCCAACCGTGGCCGGTTATAGAGGAGGAGTCACGTCTTTCCGATTTATTTACTCTTTATTGTATGCTAAGCATCACGGATTGCACGAGTCAAATAGTTTTATCAGGTGATTTATTTGAGGTCGGTGACATGTCATCAAATATTTTTGCCGTTATTCCACATCATTTCTTCGTTATCGACATACTTATTTCTTGCCATTTTAGTGTCGAAACGATTCGCACAAATTTGAAAGTATCCGAGCCACCCACTCCGTCTCGGAAGGTCTTTATGCGTACGAAGTGATATTACGTACTGACGGATTAATGCAAGTAGGTTGGGCCACCAAGGATTGTGCGTTCGATCCGGAAGACGGTAGAGGTGTTGGCGATGACAAGTACTCATATTCCTATGATGGCTATCGCAGAAGAAAATGGCACGATCAAGAAAGTAGCGTATGTTAAGAGAAAAGAACTTTTCTTGGTCCTAGATTTTTCAATGCTCTGCAAGAAAAGTGACGGTCTGCTTTTTTGTCATTTATTTTTTCATTAGAATGGGTATGGTGAAACTTGGCTAGTGGGAGATATTATTACTTGCACAATCGATGTAGACAAAGGAAATATTGCTTTTTATAGAAATGGTGAAGACATGGGAATTGCCTTTAGCGATAAAAAAATCTGCACCGGTGGTCCATGGTTTCCTGTTAGTTATTAGGAGTTATTCGGCGATCACTTTGCAAAACTTTAATCATATTATATGCTAACAGAATTTTAAAAAACTTTTTAAAACAGGCACTGACGCTATCATCAAATCAAGGCTGTCGTGTTCACTTTGGCGGTGTTTTAGATCCTCTCAAGTAAGAGACAACATAATTCACAGGTTCAGCATGAATGAATGTTGTGTTTACATCTAGTCGTTCATTGATCAAACTTTATGCATGTATCATATCGAAGATATCTTCCTAAGGATTATTCTCCGGTCGCCTCAGTCGTTCCGGGGTTTGAATTTGATTTTGCAATTCGCCCGTTTGACGCTGCCAATGACGGAGAAGAGATTCATAATGTCAATAAATCGCGCTCACGTATGAGGCCACCTTCGGAAAATCCCAAACCGGATCACTCTGTGATTCCAGTCGCAGACAGTTCTGCGCTGGTACCTTCGTCATTTAAATTCGATTTTCAACCGGCCGTCTCCATTCCAGGCGTAACCGATCAGAAGCAACCAGAGTTAACTACTGGCTTTGGTTGCACGATTTTCGACACTGAAGTGACCTTCATCCCTCTGTTGTATTATGAAGTTGAGATGGGATTGAAAGGGGTGGACTCTCAAAAGTTGATATTGACCATCCCAATAGTTTAAATTTGTAATTCTTGGCTTGCTTAGTCGCTTTCTCTTAAATTTTTTTTTCCTAGATGTTTTCAAGTTGGATTAACAATCACTTCGAGTTCGACGCATCTTTTATGTGGATACATGGACCATTACTTCTTGGTTTCTTTTCGTTTTCATAAAAAATTCGAGGACCCTCTTGATTTTGATGCGTGGTTGGTTGGACTTTTGAAAAATCGAATAGAAAACGATAAAGATTTGCAAACGGAATATCAAGGTCATGCGGCTTTCGTAAAAATGTACACGAATCTTAAGCTCAAAGACGGAGATTGCATTGGTTGGGGCGTGTTTGATTCAAAGGAGGTATGCATTGGCGGTCTGTTCGAAGAATTTGCATGCATATTTTACTCGATAGTTTAACACCCTCCTTTCCCTTTTTTTTTTTTTCCTTATTTAAAGCCACTTTATTCTGAGTGTTCAAACCTTGATCCCAGGAAGATCTCGTTGACATGTTTTTTTACGTTGAATGGCAGTGTTGTAGGTAATGAACAAAAAAAAAAAAAAAAGAAAAAAGAAAAAGAAGAAAAACTTCAATTAAATTTACACTATCACAAAAATGTAGAGAACGGTATAACCGATAAGCTATTTTCGCAAGAATCCAAATTTACTCAAGAGTCTGATGAGTCAATTTCACAAGACTTCGAGGTTACTCAAGAGTTTGTCTTTCCGTGGATTCATAATTTGCCACGTTGCATACCATTCTTTGGAACCACAGAGAATGACAAGCCCGCATTTCGGTTCAAAAAGGCGAATAATAAGACTTCTATTCGAGCAATGTTGGAATATTTAACCGTGTGCGCGCAACAATGGTGGAAATATCAAAGACTTGGTTATTCATATACTAAACTTAAATTTGGGACTTTTTAATCTATTGTTTCGCGTAAGTAAATCTATCGAAGTTGATTTGAAAAAACCCACTCATCTTCATATACATTCCCGCTTGCCGTATGGGACTTCGACACTGTTTAATCAAACTAATTTGTGTAATATTTTAGGAATTAAAGTTGTACATATTTTTGTTTTCACAAATGAAATGAATAGATAAAATTATCAATTATTAGAAGCCATGCATAAATTTAACAGGACGAAACTGATTAAATAATTAATTAGAATCCCAAAGAAATCTAATTCATTCTTAGTTTACAGTATATACTGTATATGTATATTTTTTCAAAATATATGGTCCGAGTTAACGACAGGCTCATACGACTTAGTTATCACGATCCACTTGTGCTTTTTAAAGGTACGCGTTAGCCTTATCCTGTTTATGCACATAACTAGGGCGCGTCTAATCTGTTATATAAGTTTTCTTCTAAACAAAAACAAAACCAATATGGTTAATCTCACTGTGGAGATATGGTGCTGTGTTTAAATACTCTAGTTCAACTGAACAATTAGATCAGGTCAAAAGATTCTTTTCAAGTGAATAAAAAAGAATTTCATCTATCTATTTTAACAAGTTTTTTTCTCTCGAATAAACTTGAAGTCTTCAAAAAAGACGCGATGTTTAAAAAAGTTAGCTTCAGTAAAGCAAGAAATCAGGTCAATCAAAAAATAAACAACCTTTGCATAAACAACCTCTAGCCATGAAGATTTTCAAGTTTACTATTCACTTTTAACAAAAAAAAAATATATATATATATACTGTAATAATTTTTATAAAAATGAAACTATAAAAGTTAAAGGTCTTGAGGATTCTTGTAAAAAATAAAACAAAAGATTATAATTCCTTTCAAGAATTATATAATCATTAAAAAACAATTCAAGGAATATTACCAGTTCCACTATATAGTATAAGTTAATTTTTTTTTTTTTTTTATTAAACCCTAGGTCAGGTTAGATATGTGTCCCTTATTAAACGTTTATATACTATACATTTTAAATGATTCGCTAAAGCTAAGACTTTACTTGTCGCTATTTTTGTCTTAATATACCAAAACTCTAAGTGCAACTTCAGGAGTGATTTATCACTCCATTAATGGTTCAGGTGAATATCCTTCCAACCTTTAACATCATTGCTTGCAGATCACTATCCATTGTTCTGATCAAGCTTAAAACCCAACCACTTCATTCCATAAGTAATACCTTTGAGTAGAATTTCTTTCAGGCTTTCATTTTCTTGA